TCGGAACAAGCAGGCAGAGATAGATGAACAAATGTCATAAGAGAGGAAAGATCCATTTGTTTGTGGCTAGTGACAATTCCAATTCCACAGAGTGACCCTGGGGCAGGGCCCGAAAGGATGAGTTCAGCAGGTAGAGAGGGTGACAGGTAAGGGTCCTTCAGGCACAGGGTGAACCATGAGGGAAGGCAGAGTGGCAGGAGGAATGCCATGATCACAGACATCAGGTCACACGTGTGGCCAGACTGAAGCCTATGTTGTTAGGGAAGGAGAAACAGCACTGGAAAGCAGATCAAGGGTTAAGATTTCAGTGGGGATTTCTCTTGGTTGAAAGATATCAAAGATTGCAAACTAAAGAAATTACACCATTGGGTGTGGTGGCTCATGCCTGAAATCTCAGCACTTTAGAGGCCAAGGTGGAGGACACTTGAGCCCAGGAGTTCCAGACCAGCCTGGGCAACATAGTGAGACCTCGTCTGTACAAAAAGATTAATTAGCCAGGCATGTTGGCTTGTATCTTTGTCCCAGCTACTCAGAAGGCTGAGATGGGAGGATAGATTGAATCTGGGAGGTTAAGCCTGCAGTGAGCCGAGACTGAGTCACTGTACTCCAACCTGGGCAACACAGTGAGACCTCATAGAAGGACATTTTGAAGGACTAGAGAGGAGAAACAGGAAGTAGGAAGACCAGTTGAAATTGTCCAGGTTCACAAAGGAGAATGCCTAGTGAGGACATGGCAATAGACAGATGTCTGGTGAAATCACAGCTTCAACAGGAATCTGTGCAGCAGAGGTAGCTGCAAAATTCCTCTCAAAAACCCCCTGGGGAGGCGCTCTGTTAGGGATCAGCTAGTACCTCTCCTGAGCTGGAGTCGACTCTTGTGCCTTTGGCTGAGCACCAGTGAAAACAGTTGGTCTTCAGAATCCACGTGGTACAAATATGCACTAGAATCCTTATGTGCGAGATGTTCACACTATGAGAGGCTGGAGGGAACCAAGAGACATAAAACTTACTGTTTCCGTCTCACCTTCAATCAAGGGGACATACAATGGAATGAACGAGGAATCTCTGGCACTATTACTTGCCAAGTGCTTATCATTGAATTCAAGTATGTGTGTGAGGAAACTCCACTGCAGAGATTTGACGGAACAGCCTTTGTGATGAGGAGATGAAGCAGGTAGTTTCAGGTTTTGGAGGTGAAGACAGTGGGAAGGGGTTTTATTTGGGGCCCATTGTTTCCAAAAGAATGCTAGGCTGGACACAGTGGCTCATGCCTGTAATTTCAGTGCTTTGAGAGGCCAAGGGGGGAAAATTGCCTGAGGCCAGCAATTCAAGGCTGGATTGAGCTATGATCGTGACACTGCCCTTCAGCCTGGGCATCATAGCGAGATCCTTTCTCTTCCAAAATAAAAAAAAAGTTTTTAAGTTAGCCAGACATGGTGGCACATGCAGTCCCAGCCACTCAGGCAGCTGAGGCAGGAAGTCAATGCAGCTGGTCACCTAAGAGCTCTGATGGAGCTGCGCAAGGAGATGAGTGTTGTTTTTGTGCCTGCAAACACAACATCCATTCTGCAGCTGATGGATCAAGGAGTAATTTCGACTTTCAAGTCTTATTTATTTTTCTGAGATGGAGTCTCTCTCTGTTGCCCAGGCTGGAGTGCAGCGGCATGATCTCAGCTCCCTGCAACCTCCGCCTCCTGGGTTCAAGCGATTCTCATGCCTCAGCCTCTCAAGTAGCTGGAATTACCGGCATGCATCACCACACCTGGCTAATTTTTGTATTTTTAGTACGGACAGGGTTTCATCGTGTTGCCTAGGCTGATCTTGAACTCCTGATCTCAGGTGATCCACCTGCCTCAGCCTCCCAAAGTGCTGGGATTACGGGCATGAGCCACCGTGCCCAGCCCCAGTTTCTTTTCTTTTTTTTTTTTTTTTTGAGATGGAGTCTTGCTCTGTTGCCTAGGCTGGAGTGTAGTGGTGGTGTGATCCTGGCTCACTGCAACCTCCACCTCTCAGGTTCAAGCGATTCTCCTGCCTCAGCCTCCTGAGTAGCTGGGATTACAGGTGTGTGCCACCACACCCAGGTAATTTTTGCATTTTTAGTAGAGACGGGGTTTCACCATGTTGCCCAGACTGGTCTCGAACTCCTGACCTCAGGTGACCTGCTGACCTTGGCCTCCCAAAGTGCTGGGATCACAGGCATCAGGCACTCCGCCTGGCCCTCAAGTTTTATTATTTAAGAAATACATTATTCCTGGGCGCAGAGGCTCAGGCCTGTAATCCCAACACTTTGGGAGGCCAAGGCGGGCAGATCACGAGGTCAGGAGATCAAGACCATCCTGGCTAACAAACACGGTGAAACTCCGCCTCTACTAAAAATACAAAAAATTACCAGGGCGTGGTGGCAGGCTCCTGTAGTCCCAGCTACTCAGGAGGCTGAGGCAGCAGAATGGCTTGAACCTGGGAGGCAGAGGTTGCAGTGAGCTGAGATCACACCACTGCACTCCAGCCTGGGCGACCGAGTCTCACCCTGTCTCCAAAAAAAAAAAAAAAAAAAAAAGGAAATACCTTCATAAGGCTACAGCTGCCATAAATAGTGATTCCTCTGATGGATAGGCAATGCAAATTGAAAACCTTTTTTTGGAAAGGACCCACCATTTTAGATGCCATTAAGAATATTCATGTTAGGCGCGGTGGCTCACACCTGTAATCCCAGCATTTTGGGAGACTGAGGCCAGTGGATCGCCTGAGGTCAGGAGTTCAAGACCAGCCTGGCCAACATGGTGAAATCCCGTCTGTACTAAAAATACAATCAGCCGGGCATGGTGGTGCACACCTGTAATCCCAGCTACTCGGGAGGCTGAGGCAGGAGAGTCGCTTGAACCCAGCGGGTGGAGGTTGCAGTGAGCCGAGATCGTGCCATTGCACTCCAGCCTGGGTGACAGAGCGAGACTCCATTTCCAAAAAAAAAAAAAAAAAAAAGATCACGCATAATTCATAGAAGGAGGTCACAGTATCAACATGAACAGGAGTTTGAAAGAAGTTAATTCCAACCCACATGGATCACCATGAGGGGTTCAAGACTTCAGTGGAGGAAGTAACTGCAGATGTGGTGGTAACAGCATAACTAGAATTAGAGATGAAGCCTTGAAGATGTGACTGAATTGCTACAATTTTATCATAAAACAGATGGGAGTTGCTTTTTTTAAGGGATGAGACTGGGTCTTGCTATGCTGCCCAGGCTAGCCTTAAACTCCTAGGCCGAAGGGATTCTCCTGCCTTGGACTCCTGAGTAGCTGGGGTACAGGTGCGTACCATCACATCTGTCTGGAGTTACTGCTTATGGATGAGCAAAGAAAGTAGTCTCAAGATAGAATCTACTCCTGGTGAAGATGCTGTAAACTTTGTTGAAATGACAACAAAGAAGAATATTACATAAACCTAATTGATAAAGCAGTAGCAGGATTTGAGAGGGCTGACTCCAATTTCGAAAGGAGTTCTACTGTGTGGAAATGCTATCAAACAGCATCACATGCTACAGAGAAATCTTTTTTGAAAATAAGAGTAAAATTAATGCAGCAAACCTTATTGGTGTCTTAAGAAATCGCCACAATAGGCTGGGCGCAGTGGCTCACGTCTGTAATCCCAGCACTTTGGGAGGCCAAGGTGGGCAGATCACGAGGTCAGGAGATTGAGACCATGCTGGCTAACACAGTGAAACTCTGTCTATACTAAAAATACAAAGACTTAGCCGGGCGTGGTGGCGGACGCCTGTAGTCCCAGTTACTCGGGAGGCTGAGGCAGGAGAACGGTGTGAACCTGGGAGGCGGAGCTTGCAGTGAGCTGAGATCGCGCCACTGCACTCCAGTCTGGGAGACAGATCGAGACTCTGTCTCACAAAAAAAAAGAAAAAGAAATTGCCACAGCCACCCCAGCCTTCAGCAACTGCCACTCTAATCCATCAGCAGCCATCAACATCGTGGTAAGACGCTTCACAAGTGAAAAGATTACAATTTGCTGAAGGCCCAGATGATCGTTAAGTGTTGTTTAGCAATGAAGTATTTTTAAATCATGTACATTATTTTTTAAGATTACACACAACAGCGTAAACATAACCTTTTTTTTTTTTGAGACGGAGTCTTGCTCTGTCGCCCAGGCTGGAGTGCCGTGATCTTGGCTCACTGCAAGCTCCACCTCCCAGGTTCACGCCATTCTCCTGCCTCAGTCTCCCGAGTAGCTGGAACTACAGGCGCCCGCCACCATGCCTGGCTAATTTTTTGTGTTTTTAGTAGAGGCGGGGTTTCACCGTGTTAGCCAGGATGGTCTCGATCTCCTGGCCTTGTGGTCCACCCGCCTCGGCCTCCCAAAAGTGCTGGGATTACAGGCGTGAGCCACCGTGCATGGCCTAACATGACTTTTATATGCACTGGGAAACCAAAAAATTTGTGCAACTTGCTTTATTGTGATGTTCACTTTATTGCGGTTGTCTGGAACAGAACCCACAAAATCCCCGGGATATGCCTATACACAGGTTGTCAACCAGAGGAACAACCTGGTCCTTTTCTCTCCGAAAAGCACAGCTTAAGCAACAGTAGGCTAGAAAGGCGGCAGGAGGGCTATGGGTTAAACTTAGGAAAAATCTTGGTGCCAGCCACGGGGAATACTAGGAATGACTGCTATGGTAAAATATGAACTCTCCCTAGGTAGAGCCCCACGCTACTGCTCACCAAGACAAAAAGGCCACAGGCAGCCCCAGAAAGCTCTCTGGAATGCTCCTGCACTTCCTAGGGAAGGAGAAGGTAGCTCTGAGCAGTAGCCATCAGCCTCAAGGATTTTTCAGCACCTCTAATTCTGACAAGCCTAGTGCTGCGTGCACTCTGCTTGGCTGACATCACGAGGATCACCCATTCCCCGGGGCTGGGTCATCAGATCCTATTGGGGCATATCAGGAGTCACATGAGATGGGAGAGGGAGTGAAAAACACCAACCCAAAGAATATGAAATAATTTCTAAACATTTTTATTTCAAATCTCTTTTCACCCCTCCCCAAAAAGACATGGGTAGGTACAGCAATCATAAAAAGGAGATACAAACACAAGAGTCAAATGTCTCTCGCACTGACACTTACAAAAAACTGGGAATTGTACATGGGGTTTCCAAACAGGACCTGCAGCAGCTACTAATGTCCCTTTACGAGAGTCAAACATGCCTATTAATACAGTATATACAGACACCCCATTCTGGAACTAATCTACAGGGACATCGCTAACCCCGCCCCCTCTATCCCCAGAAAAATACCAAAACACACCCAAAGTGCATTTGTTTTGTTTATATCAAAACCTCTTTCCCTTTCCCCATCCCACCCTCAGACCCCCCACCCCATTTAAGATTGGCCTGCAAGTCTATTTTAACCATTTAGTATTTTTTTATAGTTTATGAAAATAAATTATACAGCAACTATTTTAATAAATTAAGCACAAAAGGAAGGGCAAAAGAGGAAAACTAAATGGGAAGACAAAAGCCAGGCCACGCTTTGGCTTGGAGGTCAGAGGGGGGCTAACGGGGACAGAAGTGGTTGCAGGGGGTGGCTCCCTTTCTGGTGAAAAATTGGCAACCACCCCGAGCCAAGAATGGCACCCCTCTTCATCGAGTTTCTTAAAAACAACCAAAAACGTACAGCAGTGGCTATGCCACAGGCAGCACCAGTTTAGGCATTCCAACAGCCAGCTACCCAAAGTGGCACCTGGACCCTACCTGTCCCTTGGACAAGGTTCTGGGCCTAAGAGTGAGGGGCAGGTCCCCACCCAAGGGAGCACCAGAGATGGAGGAGTGAGACCAGGCTTCTGCTCCACCTGAGCTGGTTAGGGAGCTCAGGACGAAGCTCTGAGCAGGGCAGTGTGGTATGTGATGATCCCAGAGTCTGAGGAAGAGTGTCCTAAGTTCCTCACACTCGATCTCCAGGAGGAACTACGATCACAGTCCAGCTGCAACCAAACATGCCCGTCTTCCCGCTGTGGCCAGCAGCTTTCTGTCTGCCCCTCCAGGCCTCTTGGCATTGAGGAGGAGCGGGTAGGAGAGGGAAAGGGAGCAGTTCCAGGTCCCCTCTAAACCCTCTAGAAATGAAATGGGAGTGAAGCAGGTCATGAACTAAGCATGCAGGGCTGGCTTCCCGGGAGGTAGATGGGAGTGGGACAGGATAGCAGGTGTGGAGAGGACAGGAAGGAAAACAGGAAGAAACTGAGCAACACCTACCAGGAAGGTCAAGAAGCAATGAAAAGGACAAAGACAATATGAAATCTGCATGTAAAGAAAAGTCCTTTTCTGGCAGACTAGAGAATCAACATTTTCAGTACAACTCATTACGCTACTTTCCTAACTGCAGTACCCGAGTCCCCAGTGCCTGTCTCTATGATCCAACCCCCATTTCACTGCTCCCAAGACTTTGCTCTCCATTTTCTCAAGGCCTCCGATTGTTTTGTGCTGAGCGAGAAGGCTCCAATGTGAAAGCAGGGTCTACCACGGGGACGTGCAGACTTGACCTTTGTGGCCCAACCATTCTATAGCTATCATGGCGAAGGAGGGGGGCACACTTTTCTTCTTTTTTTTTCTTTTTCTTTTTTTAATAAAAAAGGTTTTACTCCCCAGGAGCAAATAAATCATTTTGAACTACTGATAAACACTGCTGCAGTGAAAAGAAAGATGGCTACATGTATGCAATAGCACAAATTCAGTGGAAGAACAGCTGTGTTGATGATTAGAGATAAAAATCACTTCTCCATTCCCTCCTTTCCCACAAACCAAACCCAGGATTCCCATAGGGAAAATGTCTAACTCAATAGCTCCTCCCTTACATGACAGGGGGCGTGTCATTCTCTTAAAAGTGGAAACAAATGCCAGGTCTCCGCCCAGTGGAGATGCTCTTAACACCCCAACTGGTAGCAAGACTTCTGCAAATGACACACAAACACACACACACACACGCATACGCATATGCACACACACAGACTCAGACCTTCCAGCAGCCATAGAGCTTTATCCCAGTGTCTTGTCCACTAACTTTAGGGCTCCAAAGCTAAGGGAGAGAGGCAGCAGGGAAGGGAAAGCTCTTAACTGAAGGAAAAAGCTCCTCCTCTCCCCACTTTCTGCAGGGAGCAGAGGGCTTCAAGCATGCCATGCTTTCCTGGGAGCCCCGGGGTGAGGACTGACAAGGCTGGATTCCAGGGCACTTCTGGTTCTACTCCCACCACTCACCTCTAGGCCTGGGAACTAGAATTACCCCCACTCCCCAATTCTTCCTGGATGTCTGTTACAAGGGTGTCTGCAGCTATCTCCACACCATCCCCAACCTCAAGGGGGGCTTACATGATTAGCCCAAGTGAAATGTAGGGAAGTGGAAGGAGCAGGAGCCATGCAGGAGCTTCCCTTGGTCACACCTTTCTCCTCAGGGAGGTGGTGCCACCTCCACGGCTCAGGTTCCAGGATGTAACATTCACTTTACCTAGGTAAAGTAAAAGGTGACCAGGCCAAGGTCAGCACCAATGGTTCCAAAGAGCCAGCTGCCACCCACTTATCTAGTGCCCACACCAAAACCCCCACCCGCCTACTCCTATGCTCCTAACATAGCACACAAATTTCAAGTAACAGCAAGTTGTAGCAGTAGTTGTCACTGGCTCACACTGGCTCTCAACCTGAGGAAGGTTACAGTAGATCAGTCATAAACAGGTGAGGGTTATACAGGCACTGAAGCTACTAGTCTCACCCACCCACAACTTAGAAATCAATAGTGGGTCTCTAGATGTAAGCCTTTTCTAATTTGTGACTTGAAAATACAACCAGAAAGGAATTTTTTTTTTTTTTTTTGAGATGGAGTCTTGCTCTGTCGCCCAGGCTGGAGCGTAGTGGAACGATCTCAGCTTACTGCGACCTCCGCCTCCTGGGTTCAAATGATTCTCTTGTCTCAGGCTCCCGAGCAGCTGGGACTACAAGTACAGGCCACCATGCCCAGCTTATTTTTGTATGTCAGTAGAGATGGGGTTTCACTATTTGGCCAAGCTGGTCTTGAACTCCCAACCTCGTGATCCGCCCACCTCAGCCTCCCAAAGTGCTGGGATTACAGGCGTGAGCCACTGCGCCCAGACCTAGAAAGGAATACATTTAAATGAGCTCTACACAGCACTGGTGAAGGAGGGGTGGGCCTGGTCGGGAAGGTGAAGGGCAGGTGCTACCCCAGCTGCTGCACCTGTTCCTCTGCTCCATTTACTCTCTGACCAGGCTGCATCCCAGAGAGCTGGTCCAGCCCCATGCCTCCTCCTCATCTTCCTCTAACTGCTCTGTGCAAGGCCACCCATGCAGGCACCAAACACCCACACCTGTCTCCTCTTGCACTGCTGTTTTGCAGCCCACTCCACAGAGGAAGGACTAGGCTGCAGCCAGGGCTGGGACCAGTGCACCGACAGATCACAGACAGTTCAACACAACCCTCCCCAGGAGAAGAAAGGTGGGTGGTGAGGTTGGGTCACACCTCCTCAGTTGGTTTGTTTTGTACCTGAGTGTATGAGTTCTCCAGAAGAAACCCCAGTAACATAAGGTGTGTGCAGGTTCTGCCTCCCTCACATGGCCTGAGCTGACCATAGTGAGGCCCTGGCAATGGGCAGAAGCCTTGCTGACTCCTCTGGGCTTTGGGCTCCACCTAACCAGCATAAACCCTCGGCACTCAGGTCTGCTTGGTGGCTGAGAAGCTTCCATCTAGACAACTGCACTGGAAAGGATTCTTTAACCATGTTGCTCTAATAGGACTGTGCACTGTTTAGTACATGCCATGCAGATTTCTGTTTCCTTGCTTTTGTTCATGTGTTTCTCATCTCACTGTCTGTCCTGCCATTAACTACAACCCAAAACCTCAGAGGCACAGAACTTTCCCAGACCATCTGTTCTACCCTGATCTTATCTACTATAAATGTCTTTAGATGGTCCTTGATTTTCTGCTTGATGTGCAGCAGTCACCTAAAAGCTCCCTTAGGCCACAGATTACGTCTTTTACCTTTTTTTGTTTTCTACAGTATCTAGCACAAAGCCAGGCACACACACACTAAAAAATAATCTTAAAATTATGAGTGGTTGAAAAGGAACAAAAAAAAGAAAGCTCCCAGGCTGCATATCCGCCACCCAAGGATCTCAATGGATTCCAGACTTCAGGCTCTGTATCAGGGTGGCACTTCCTGCAAGATGGCGAGTTATATCACTTGTACTCTCAAGAGGCAACACTCACATGCTAAGCCAATTTCTGGGATCATAATCTTGCTTAATTGGTAATAGTTGGTAATACTACCATGGAAGCCAAGAAAAGAAGAGGTACCATATGACAAATCAGAGGTGGGTTGTGTTTATGGTGCAAAGCTCATCTTGTGGGCCCCCCCTCTATGGTCAGGTAACGGTGCAAGTTTCCTCCCTGTTCAGCTACAAGGAGGAAGACTGGTCATTACATGCAGGACTAAGGAAGAAAGCAGTGCTCCCAGATGAGGTGGTCCTATAAATTACCAAGACACTGGGGCCCCACCCAAACCATCAGGAAGCCACAAACCTGACATTAGTATCTTGTGAGATGAGGCAGCTATAAGCATGGGGAACCCAGAAAGAGTCTCACAGAACACACGCAAAGGAGTCATGAAGACCCAACAGCTCCACTGTTACATCTCAATAGCAAACCTCTCCCCAGAGCAGCTCTACAAGAAAGCAAACTCACAACATCATATGAATTGGCCATGGCCAGCTGCAGAAACCATTAAAGACCATTGGAGTTTTTCTGCCCGCTCCTCCTGAGAGCCAGAAGACAGGCAGCTCTCAAATCGGCACCTGACAGACTTTCCAGTGAGTGGAGACCAGCAAGATCTGATCTGGAAATGTCTGGGTTGCTAGAATGAACACAGGAAAATATAGAAGCCCTTGCTACCTCCCATCTCAGAAGTGGGACAGCAGTGATAAACCTAAAAACATGAGATGCGATGCTCTCCTCTGACCTAAGGAAATCCTGTGAGGGCTGCGTTCTGAGAGCTTTCTCTAGGAAAAGCACAACTGTGGGAGCTGCATTTCTCACCTTCCTCCACATTCCCCCTCATAAGCTGACAGGCACATGGAAGTAACACTGACTCCTAAGTCATGAGTACAGTTTGCCATGAAGAACCTGGAAGCACGCTCCATTAAATTCAGCAGCCCATGATTGGCTCTGAACCGCCCAGGTGATGAGAAACACGATTGCCTTGACAGCCGGCAGAAGCAATAGGGATGCCGTTACCATGACCAGAGTGACATGTACAGTTATCTCAAGGGGGAATGGGTTGAGAGCAGAGAAAGAATGGGTTAACTTCAGGTCATGGAACTTAAGGAATTAAGTAAATGACAACTAGTACAGCTTCCATGAGAGGTGTTTCTGAACTCAGATTCTTAAACCTTAAAAAAGGGTGCAGGAGTCACTACTTCCCCCAGCTAAGGCCAATTGCCAGGTTTTGCCCAATATTCTTTTCGAGACCACCTACCCTCCTTTCTCTCCTGCTCCTACCACAGCTGCCCATGGCAACAAGAAACAGACTCCCCCTCCCTTAGGAACTCTCAGTCCTTTGCAAACCTCAGGCCTTTCCTCCCATCTTCCAGGCCCACGGCACAGACTCTAACTCTGCCTTTGGCACCAGCTGAATGGCCGTCCCGTCCCCTCCTCCCACCCTTTCTTTGGACCTGCTCACACTTCATACCACTTTCAATCTAATGGGCACAAACCCCAGCTGCCTTCAAGGTGAGTTTTCCATACCAAGTAATACAAATATCAAAAACAAAACTTCTGAAAAAGAAACAGTGTTGAGACTTCTTCCAGTTTTCCAAGGAGCCCCTCCAGTCCCAAGATGCCCAGGGGTGGGTATGAGGTGCAGCCCCACGCAGAGTACGGTCATGTGCTTCTTCCAAGCCCCAGGGCTGCGTGGGGAACCAAAGTCTCTGAACAGAGAATCCCAACCTTCCCGTTCCTTCACTTTTCCCCTTCTTTTCATGGTAGCTTAATTTGGTTCTTCAAAGCTGGAGCTTGGCAACCAAATGCCTAGGTAAAAAAGGAAAAAAAATTAAAACAGTTAAACAGAATAGAACCAAAACGGAGTGAAAGAACAGCCAGGCACTGGAGGTGGAGCAACACACCTCAAAAGGAGAATGGAGCCTGGAGAGCTGAATGCTTCCACGAGGGCCACATGTGACTAGGGATGCAGCAGTGGCCTTTGTCAGGGGACCTGAGCAGCCTATGACTTGGATGACAAAACAAGGTCCCGAAATAACTAATAAATATATCCTACCACATTGCATAAATTCTCTCTTTCCCTTTCCCTTACCCCTTCATTTCCTACCCACTTTTTCCCTGAGGCTGAATTGCTCTAGGGACTGAAAAGGGAAGTGAGCTCCTGGAGTAATCCCTTTTGAACCTGGCTAGAAAGAGCTCTATATTTCTTTTTTTGTTTTGTTTTGTTTGAGACGGAGTCTCGCTCTGTCACCCAGGCTGGAGTGCAATGGCATGATCTCGGCTCACTGCAATCTCTGCTTCCTGGGTTCAAGCGGTTCTCCTGCCTCAGCCTCCCAAGTAGCTGGACAGGCGTGCGCCACCAAGCCTGACTAATTTTTGTATTTTTAGTAGAGACAGGGTTTCACCAGGTTGGCCAGGCTGGTCTCAAACTCCTGACCTCGTGATCTGCCCACTTCGGCCTCCCAAACTGCTGGGATTACAGACGTGAGCCACCACGCCTGGCCAGAGAGCTCTATATTTCTGCAGCTTCTGTCAACTCGACAGGGTTGACACAGAATCACAAAGGCCACTGTTGCGTCCACCTTCCAACTTGAGACAGGCACTGTTCTCGCCATTACTCTGTAGCCTGACTCCAAACCCCCTGGCATGAAATTCCACAGGTAACAGCATACATAGACCAAGCAGGCCATTCAGAACTCCCAAATTAAAATCAGTCTGAACAACCAGAAGTCATAAAGACCAAATTTCATACCCTAAAGACCTTTCCCGACGGGGCACAGTGGCTCATGCCTGTAATCCCAGAACTTTGGGAGGCCAAGGTGGGTGGATCACTTGAGTGAGGTCAGGAGTTCGAGACCCACCTGACGAACATGGAGAAACACCATCTCTACTAAAAATACAAAATTAGCTGGGTGTGGTGGTGCACACCTGTAATCCCAGCTACTTGGGAGGCTGAGGTGTGAGAATTGCTTGAACCCAGGAGATGGTGGTTGCAGTGAGCCAAGATCACACCATCGCGCTCCAGCCTGGGCAACAAGAGCAAAACCCCATCTCAAAAAAAAAAAAAAAGACCTTTCCCTTGGGAAGTGTTACATCCCCCCTTTCCAGGGCTCCTAGGGTCTACAGCAGGAGCAAGTTCAGCATTACGCTTATTCTTTGCCACAGGCATCAATCCTGATGTCACAGCAAAAAAGGATCCTGGGAGTTCAGTTCAAACCTTTGCCAATATATGACTGCCCCCAACACTCAAGACAAATGGCTACCCACTGGCCTGTTCCTGATCATGCCACGTCCCTCTCAGCTGAGGCAGGGCCTTTATACCTCTAGGTCCCCTTGCCCAGAATGTTCTGCTCCAAGGCACTCCCATGGCTGGCTCCTTGATAATCGGGTTTCAGCTGAAATGGTGCCTCCTTGCAAGTCTCTCCCTGACTATCTAAACTTGAGGAGTACCCCACTACTAATCACTAAACTTTACCCAGTTTTATTTTCCTCACAACACTGTACAGTCACCTGAAATTAGCCCATTCATTTATGTTCGTGTTTGTTGCCTGTCTTTCCTTAGAAGGGAAGCTTAGTGAGAATAGGGCCTTTGCTTTGCTCAGCACTCTATTCTCAATGGGTGCCGAACACACACAAATATACAGCTATCTGCTGAATGGAAGCTCTTGAGGAAAAGCATCCCAGTTTTGGACCTCTCTGTTAAAAAGGTTCTTCTAAAGTTGGACTGAAATCTAGTTCCTTGTAACTTACACTCATTTTGGTCCTTGTCCATGTCTCTTTTTGCTGTGATATGGGAAGGCCTTGGAGCAGAGCATTCTGGGCAAGGGGACCTAGAGGTATAAAGGCCCTGCCTCAGCTGGAAAGGGTGTGGCATGATCAGGAACAGGCCGGTGGGGAGCCACTTGTCTTGAGTGTTGGGAGCAGTCATGCACTGGCAAAGGTTTGAACTGAACCCTCAGGATCTCTTTTTGCTGTGACATCAGGATTGTTGCCTGTGGCAAAGAATAAGGGTAATGCTGAACTTCCTCCCCACTGGAACCACAGAGAGGAAGTTAATCACTCTCTTTCTCAGGAAAACCCATCAAATGCATCTTTCAGCTATCCCTCCCTAAAACCTCCATGCTCCCGGTTAATCACATTTCTTTCTAGGCCATTTATTCCTATATGATGAAGTTTGAGCTCTCCAATGCTACAAGGCCCTTCTCTGAATGTGCTCCCTGTTTATGTGGGTTCTTCTATAGCACTGCACCCACAGACGTGGTCCTCTAACTGAATGGCCTAATTACTCTTCAAGGGTAGTCAGGTAGGTGGACCTCCCTAGTGCTCTCTCTACCTCTCAGCCTAATCTCAAGTGCAAAGCCATCATGCAGAGAAATCCACCTAGACACCAGACATTAGATGTTTAGTCACTTCCAAAGGCATACAATTTGCATATAATTGAAGAAATGATGAGACTGTACATCTACTCCAGGATTCACACCGGAAGAAAGCAGTCATTGCACACTGGCAGTCAATCTTGCTTTTCACCACCACCACCAAAGTCACAGCTCCCTGGCAATTGTGTTCCCTACTCAGGAACTTGGCCCCACAATGTTCACTTTAGTGCAATTTAAAAGACTAATTGGAATTCATCTGCACAAACCAGTATTGCAAGATATTTTATGGGGAAATAAATGAGTAGAACTGTGTAATGATGGGAGAAGAGTCTCGTAGATAAATGAATTCCTTAGTTAATTCACTTATTCTCTTCAACAATTTACTTTGTAATGGCCCAAATGGAACTCTAAATAGAAGAGTGGGCTGTTTTTCTTCATCCCCATATTCCAAGCTGTGGGACATGGTGGAGTCTCACTCAAGTGCATGCCTGTTGCAATTAAAGGCATGTTTGTGTTCTCTTTGATGAAGCTTCCTTTCCCTTTAGCTTCCTGCTTTATATGACAATTGTGTGGTATCAGGGAGATCAGCCCAAGTCCGTATGAGAGGAGGCTGCACTCTTCTTTTTATTTTTTTCAATTACCCTCTCCTTGCCAGAGGCTGCACTCTTAGCTACACTTGGGTGTCCCCCTCCTTGCTCACATTCAGTGATTAGCTTGCACATTTCCTGGCAATCTGCTTTCATGTCTGTCTGCTTTTCTCCCAAATGGGGTGTGTGCCCCTTGGGGACTCCACAGCCAGATCTTGTCATTCTATGGGCAAATGCTTGGATCGGGGCTATCCATGTTGGGAGATGCAGGGAGGGGGCCCAAGGCTCAATGCATGATGATGACTGCCCAGTAAGAAATGTGGCTGGGCAGTGAGGCGGAGAGCTCATACCCTTGGTGGCGACCAGCAGGGAGCCCCTCGCTATGTGGAGGGTTCCACCTCTTGCTTCTGTTTGGAAATGAGCTGCGCTTCCTTTAGAGACAGGTATACCTCTTCCTGAGGATCATAGTAGTAGAACTTCCGGATATAAGAGATCAGAGGTCTGTGAAAAACAAATAAGGGATATACACAAAAGGTTTTTATGCAAAATATAAAAGAAGTAACTCCTTTGTTCAACTCTTCTTCATTCCCTACATGGTAAGAGACCTAACACAATTCCCATTTTCTCAGTTATTATAGTTCTGTCTTCCTTACCCTTACCACTTCTACTCTATTCTTCAGAGAGACTGCAGAAGGGAGGCTGACACACACACCTTCCTCCCTCTGGCTGCAACATGACAGTTCTAAAGTTAGGTGCTAAGACACAAGAAATGTGAAAGAATGATGTCTGCAAATATTTTATGCCAGACTCTGCCTGTGAAGGTGGCTTGCAGGCCTCACTGACATTTGTTACCTCCCCACAACCCCCTTACTCATTCCTGTCCCAACCCTAAGAACCCCATTGTACTTAGGCAGTGGGAGATCTGGGATGTGATCTATCCTGACGAGCTGTCGTATCCGGAATCTGCAAAGGTGCTGGAGGGATTTGACATTGCTGAATCGGGACACTGGATAGAGCAGCTGGACAGGAGTTGGTGGCAGTCCTTCAAGAAAGAAAACAAAGGAAAATATTCAGAGAAACAATGGAGCTAACTACCATTTCTTGTATGAAGAGAACCTAGGGAGGGGAAATGGGACTTCTTTATGGTTCATATATGTATTCTGTGCAAAAGCCCCTCCACAAAGGGCTGTTGATTTCCATTTCCAGAAGAACCACCACCACCTTCACACTTAAGGAAGTCTATTCTCTGCCAAAGGCCTCCTTAGCATCACTTTTGTGTGTGTGAGTGGTTTTTTTTTTTTTTTTTTTTGAGACAGAGTTTCGCTTTTTTTTTTTTTGAGACAGAGTCTCACTCTGTCACCCAGGCTGGAGTGCAGTGGCCGGATCTCAGCTCACTGCAAGCTCCGTCTCCCGGGTTTATGCCATTCTCCTGCCTCAGCCTCCCGAGTAGCTGGGACTACAGGCGCCCGCCACCTCGCCTGGCTAGTTTTTTTGGTATTTTTTTTAGTAGAGACGGGGTTTCACCATGTTAGCCAGGATGGTCTCAATTTCCTGACCTCGTGATCCGCCCGTCTCGGCCTCCCAAAGTGCTGGGATTAAGTGCTGGGATTACAGGCTTGAGCCACCGCACCTGGCCTGAGAGTTTTGCTCTTTTTGCCCAGGCTGGAGTGCAATGGCGCGATCTCGGCTCACCGCAACCTCCACCTCCCAGGTTCAAGCGATTCTCCTGCCTCAGCCTCCCGGAGTAGCTGGGATTACAGGTATGTGCCACCACCCCGGCTAATTTTGTATTTTTAGTAGAGACGGGGTTTCTCCATGTTGGTCAGGCTGGTCTTGAACTCCCGACCTCAGGTGATCCACCTGCCTCGGCCTCCCAAAGTGCTGGGATTACAAGCGTGAGCCACCACACCCGGCCTGGTTTTTTTTTTTGGAGACAGGGTCTCGTTCTGTCACCCAGGCTGGAGTGCAGTGGCCCAATCTCAGCTCACTGCAGCCTTGACCTCCCAGACTCAAGAAATCCTCCTGCCTCAGCCTCCTGAGTAGCTGGGACCACAGGTGCATGCCACTGTACCCAGCTAATTTTTGTATTTTTAGTAGAGACGGGGTTTCCCTGTGTTGCCCAGGCTAGTCTCAAACTCCTGGGCTCAAGCAATCCATCTGCCTCGGCCTCTCAAAGTGCTAGAATTATAGGCGTGAGTCACTGTGCCTGGCTCCTAGCATCACTCATAACAGCTGAGAGTCCTGCTCCTTGGAGTAGTCCAATGATGCCAAACTAGAGACACTGCTTGGACCCAAGTGGCCAGTCCCAGGCCTGAGGCTCTTGGGAAGGCCAAGAATCAAAAGGATCCCTGCTGGGAATGGGAGATACTTGTTGGACACATCTACTAGTATCCTGAGAGTGAGGACTCAGAAAAGCCGTTCAGAGGAGTCCCCACCAAATTCCAACTGGTTCAGCAGAGAGGCTGGTAAGTAGAAGGTAACAGCTGGGATCAAAGTTGACAAGCCTATTATTCCCGCTATTACTTCAAGCCAGGACAATCAGGTTTAGCCCCTCTTATACTCACCATCCACAACCCCCACTTCCTGCTTCTGAAATTTTAGGCCAGGAAACCAAAAAAAGATGATGCTTTTAAAAGAACAACCACCACAATAACTTGGGCAAGCTGGGTTTAGTACTACTCAGTGCAAACCTGCCTGCTGATTGATGCCAAATAGACTCAATGGGAGTACCACCTCCTTATGTATTAGCAGGCTATGTGCTGGGGAATCCCACCCCAAAAAGGGCCCCACGCCACAGCACAGAGACATCCAGAATGGCAGGAACACTGGGGTTCAAGGGAACTAAGAATATTTTGCTTTCAATAAACAAAGGGGCTATGGAAGGTAAACAAGATTCTTTGAGAAAGAATCTGAGTTGTAAAACCTGTCAAAGAATTCTCAGCCATTGTCATATCAAAAGACATTCTGTAGACAATTCTGTAGACACAACTGATTGGAAAATAAAATATCTACTATTATTGGGGTTTAAGTTCAAACAGTTTTTTTGTTTATTTGTTTGTTTAAGACGGCATCTTGCTCTTGTTGCCCAGGCTGGAGTGCAGTGGCGTGATTTCGGCTCACTGCAAGCTCCAACTCCTAGGTTCAAGCGATTCTCCTGCCTTAGCCTCCCGAGTAGCTGGGATTACAGGCGCCCACCACCATGCCCAGCTAATATTTGTATTTTTAGTAGAGACGGGGTTTCACCATGTTGGCTAGGTTGGTCTCGAACTCCTGACCTCGGGTGATCCACCTGCCTCAGCCTCCCAAAGTGCTGGGATTACAGGTATGAGCCACTATGCCTGGCCCAGATAGTTTTAAAATTTTGTTTGAAGGCATGAAAACAAAACAAATGAAAGCTTGCACACTGTATCCTAAAGCTTTTTCATGATCACTGACAACAGACTTTCTGGAGGGAAAAAAAAAAAAAGAAATCAAAATATATTATTTTATTGTTACTGAGCAAGTAAGCTCATCTTAAAAACATACTCAGGCTAGGTGCAGTGGCACATGCCTGTAATCCTAGTACTTTGGGAGACAAAGGAGAAAAGATCACTTGAGGCCAGGAACTTGAGGCTACAGTGAGCCAAGATTGCGATGCTGCACTCCAGCCTGGGTAACAGAGCATGACCCTGTCTCTAAAAAAAATAATAGTAATAATGATAACTTATTTAGTCTTTAAAACTATACTTTGAGGCAAACACCACCATCCCCATTTCACATATAAAGAAACTGAGGCCCACTGAGCTTAGAGAACTTGCTGTGGCATGGAGCCAATAAAGTCGGCCTGCCTTGAACACCTGCCCTAAGGAAGAATTATCGGTGGCTCTACCATAGCCGAGAAACCTCTCAGCAGGGTTCTCCAGGAGGGTCTCTAGAGTGCCTATACCTCTGCCCATCTAACAAGGAGGTTGTCCAGGACACAGCACTCTGGTTCATGACCAGCCTCTCCTAGTCCTCTGCCTGGCACTCCCACCCCTTCAAAACTAAGTCTTGTATTTTGAAGCCCTACTGCTCTCCTCCAGCCACATGGTTAGTCCTCTCCATTAAAAGAAAAGAAAAAGAACTCATACGTGAATTTTTCCTTGAATATATTTAACTCAAGCGGTTTTAAGAAATAATTTTGGGTTCAAATGCCTCTTTGAATTTATCCTGTCCCTCACTGGTATTTATATATTCTTTAGTAAATTAAACTATGGCAAACAGAAAGCTTTGGGGGGTTGGCTGTAATATTGGTAAACTCAACATGATGTTTCAGAGATAAAAGTAATTTATATATCTAATAATTTATTCCCAGAGATAACACTGTGCTAAAAGAGATCAGGATAATATACAACATACAATTATCTGATTGTTTGCCTACTTAAATTTTAACGACCACATATACTTGCCTATTTAATCATATTACTTTTAGCCTTTAGGTTTACAAATAGCAATTTGAAACCTGTTAATTTTCTGATATTCTCTGGTGTTTATCTGACCATTTACTGTTTGCCCACAAGCGTAGCAAACGATTAAAACTCTCACATTTAAAGCATGCTAACAGAAGCAGTTAAAAATGGAAAGAATCCAGGATAAGACCCAACTGGGGTTAAAAGAGTAAGGGTAAAGTCGAACATTAATCATCAGTAACTTTCTTCCAGTTCTCATGGGCACAAACCTAGTCTGTAGCCATGCACTATTTTTCATTTGTCTCAACAAAGACCATGTTAGGGGTAAGAAATCTCTTCCAGGTATAAACACCCAAACACCCATGTCTTTCTGCCACACCAAAGGTTTTTCTGTCCCCTGAAGACAGAATCAGATCAGGAATCACATCTGTTTCACATTCCAAGTCTCATTTTCTTAACAGTATAAGTAAAAAGAGAATAAACTAGGGAGTCTAGTTGACTTATATATAATCCTTCAAAAAGAAAAAAATAAGCACAAGGGCAATAGTAAAAGGCGGCCCAGTGCGGTGGCTCACGCCTGTAATCCCAGCACTTTGGGAGGCTGAGGTGGGAGGATTGCTTGAGCCCATGAGTTCAAGATTGGCCTGGGCAACACAGGGAGACCTTACCTCTACAAAAATTAAAATTAAAAAAATTAGCCAGGCATGGTGGTGCACACCTGTGGTCCCAGCTACTCAGGAGGCTGAAGTGGGACGACTGCTTGAGCCCAGGAGGCTGAGGCTGCAGTGAGCTATGATTGCACCACTGCGCTCCAGCCTGGGTTATGGAGTAAGACCCTGTCTACAAAAAAGATATTTAGCTAACAGTGAAGTACTGTTTTTTAATATCCCACTCCTTTCTTCAGCTTGAAACAGCTTAAGAAAAACTAAACAATAGTTTAGTTGAGTAGGAACAGGGGTGAGAGGGCAGAAGATTCACTTTTCCTTATATTCCCTTGGGTACTATTAGACCTTTTTATCACATACACGTTATTTCAAAATTTAAAAAGAAATACATGTTATAACTAAAAAATGAGTTATGCAAGGTTACAGGATATAAGATGAATATGCAAAAAGCAATTAAATTTCTACATTCTAGCTATAAAAAATCCAAAAGTAATTAAAATTAAGAAAGCAATTTACAATAGGATCAAAAACAAATACTAAAAAATAAATTTAACAGAAGAAGTACAAAACTTACATTATGAAAAAATACGGGCCAGGCACAGTGGCTCATACCTATAATTCCAGCACTTTGGGAGGCGGAGGCAGGTGGATGGCTTGAGCCAAAGGGTTAGAGACCAGCCTGGGCAACGTGGTGAGACCACATCTCTACTAAAAATATAAAGATTAGCCGAGCATGGTTGTGTGCGCCTATAGTCCCAGCTACACAGGAGGCTGAAGTGGAGGGCAGATTGAGCCAGGGAGGTAGAGGTTGTAGTGAGCCATGATGGCACCAATGCACACCAGACTGGATGATAGTGGGACAAAAAAAAAACCTGAAAGACAGAAAGAAAGATAAGGAAGGAAGGAAGGAAGGAAGGAAGAAAGGAAGGAAGGAAGGACAAACAAAAGAA